CGTCTACAGGGCTAACTCAAGGGCAAATCATAGCCATTGCTTGTGCTTGTTCAGCTGTAGTGTTAGTTGTGGTAATCATTCTTGTTGTAATTTGTTGGAAGAAAAATCGCCCAAGGAAAGTAAATTCCGAGGTTTCCCTGAGTCGACAACATTTGACAAATGATGTCGAAATGAGAGAGCATGGACACGGTAAGGACCCTGAACTATAAACGTTTTTGCAATAGAGCTCTGAAGCTCTTACGTCATATATCGTACATACGCAATGCATTGTAGGATATGTAGGGGACAAAAAATGATGACGGATTTTCTCCAGAAACTGATTCCACAATGCATTTCAAATCGAGTACGTGACGTAAAAGCTTCAGAAGTCTATTTGGAATTTGAAATGGAAAAGTGAATTATGAACTGCTGTGCGCGCATGCTCAATTGTCTGCCCGATGTACAACTTACTGAATTTTGTTGTTTCATGAACGATTTTTCCGATTTTTGTTGCTATTGTTGTGCTTGCTGATCATTGCTATGTTGTCACTTTGTTGACTATCGATTAATCTTTGTCTACTTTCTTGTGATCGTAATCTTCGTTATTGATGTTGCTTTTGTTTGATATTCACTCGTTTAACATTCCCGAGTCCCCACAAGTTGATATTGTTATTAATATTTTTACTATAATGTTGCTATTTCTTTACAGACAACCCTGAACAAGAACAAGTATCCGAGGCTTAATATATAACTTTCTGAGTGACCAAACAAGTCCTTGTTATGTTAAGTTTTTTCAGTCTTTCGTAAAGTGCCTTTTCCATCGCGATACATGGACTCATGCCCAGTCCCTTCAATTACTTTGCTTTTTCAAAGGTGCGTAATTCAAGGAAAGCGCTACTTTCACGAAACGTTGTTCTTTCTCACAACCAGAATAAACGAGCAATATCTCCAATCATCTCTTTCGAGCATAGCGCAAAAAGAGAATCATCGACAGGGTATACGAGTGTGGTTGCGATATGAAATGAAAATTGCTGAATACGAGGCTCTGGGAAACTATGGATGATCATTTTGCTTCCCCACTCGCAGAACTTCGTCTTCGTGTCCGTCTACTCTGACTTGGATCTACTCTCAAAATACAGATGCGCACACCGTTGTAATGAATTTATTTATATATTTATTTATTGCATTTTCCTATACGACCGAATTACTATCGATAAAGCTTTCGCTATAAACTAAGATAGACACTGATAAACCATGAACTTAATCATATATGAATCTTACTTGAACTAAAATAGTTGTTGAATAAACATTTCATAAAACATTGGTCTTCCTATTTTATTTTCTCTCGCTTATTCCACTTCTATTCATTCTTACTTCCATCCCTTTCAACCTCTCTTCCTCCTTTTCTTTTCTTTTTTATTCTTTCCTTTTTCTTTGACTTTAACCAAAGTTCACGGTTCACCTTAATATTATTGGAGAATGAGAAAAAGATGATGAAAAATACAATAAAAGAAAAAAAACGTGACATAAAGGAAGTTACCGTGACGGAAGTTCATATTTACTTCCTGCTGTCGAGTCTTCGCGCAACTTTCGCTGGCAGTAGTAACCAGTCGAATGTCTAGCCAGTACAGCAGCCGGTACAATAGACAAAATTTATACGACGGTTAGAAAATGGTTAAACGAACGTTTACGTGGCAAGAACTAAGCCAATTTAATACCAAAGATAATGCCTTCGTTGCTGTACGAGGAAAGGTAAGAATTTACGTTAAACAGTATTAAATTCACTTTTTCTTGTCATTTGTACTA